CCCCAGCCTTGTCCCCAAGGCTGGCGTTTTCGTGGTGGCCTGGGAGGCAGATAGAGCGCAGGGGATGGAGATACTTACAGTACCTTTGTTTACTCCGTGGTCAAAGTGCCGGTTGGAAATGCCTTTTCTGACAATATGTTCATCATATTTTGAGCTTCCTAGATGAAGTGACATTGCTTATCTCCTCGAAGGCAAAAGCATTAAACCTGTTTCTTCTTTGCTCTTCAGGAGAAAAGCTGCCCTTACATTCCTCCGAAGAAGCTCAAAATCTGATGGGCCAATCATCAGGTAAAACACAAAGCTACAGGGAAATAAGCAGGCTTCTGTTGAAATATATTTCTTAAATAGGACTGTGCCATTGTTGTGCTCCTAGATAGACTGTGGATAGATTTGTGGAGAAGATGGCAGGTTTTCTTGGTGGGCAGGGAGAGACCAGGCAGAGCAGCTCCTGCCATTCTCCTTTGTACAGCATGTCAAGAGAAAAGTGCCTGGAGTTTATTGCCTGGTTTTTGGTATTTGCATGTAACTGCCATCTGTGTAATGGAAAGACATCAGAGTCATCACCCTAATTCTTTCATTTAATTTTGGATAAACTTAGCTCAGAAACAGTAGAAAAAATGGCTGTGGGAACAGAAATGGTATGCGATGTTAGCTATCTCTAAGCCATTCAGGGCGAGCTGCAGTTTTAGTGGGACAGGACCCTGAGGAACCAAAGCATGGCCGTAATCTTGGAGAAGTTGTGATGTCAAATGTCCTGCACATTCATCCATTGTCTACCATTACTTAGAGGAGTTATCCTGAGACCTGGCGGCTCACAGGTGATGTGAGCCAGACCCGGGGCACACGCGTGCTCTGCAGCCAGCCGGGGTACATCGCATGTGTGCCTCGGAAGAGTCTGGGGACGTCACCTAACTCTGAAAGCAAACGTAGCCCAGGTAAATAGACCCTAAAAGACCACAGCAAACATAGATTTCATGATACCAACCTGCGCAGCCTTGTTTTCTGCGTGCCCTGCTTTGCCCTTTGCAATCACCCGCCTTGACCCCACCAGATGACAGCCATGGGGACTGCATGTGCACACCGGAGAGGGAGGAACTGGCATGCTAAAATGAACGATCTCCAGGTAATGGAGAAGGATGTGGCCGTTCCTCGATGGCCACTGTGATGCAGGGGTGGTGCGGTACCGTAGTGCTGCGTGCCCCGAGGGCTTTCAGCAGCACCGGTGGCATCTGAGTGAGGGCTGAGGGACCCTGTCTATGAGTCTGAGGAGCCTAGCTTGCATTTCCAAAGACCCCTGTGTGCCTCAGCACTGCTCTGAGCCCAGCCCCAGTGCTCTGCTCCCTTCGGAACACATTTTCTGCCATACCCAGGCTGCTACGGAGCTGAGCCTTGTAACGCATGGCCAAGAGACGGGGACACCTGCACCCTGAGGGAACATGTCTTTGCGTTAGGTGCAGTCCACCTTGCCCCAGGCCATAAGGAGGCTCGGCCTGAAAGATGGTCCAGGGCTGGTGAGATGTCTCTTCCAATGCAGCTTGCGATAAAGTCAGCGTTAAGCATTGCCCGCTGTGTGAAACCTGGGCAGGAGCAGTTTTGTGCTGGCTTTGGCATCGGTACACCTGGCAGGGGTGAAGGAGAGCGTAGGGCTGCTGAGTGGAAGATCCCCATCCCTTGCGTTTCCCCTCCTCTGAGCGCTCCCGAGTGAAAAACGTGGCAAGGAGACCTCCTGCAAGCGGGTGCCTCTGTGGCGTGCCCAGGCGTTGCGTCTCTGCGAGGGAGGTGCAGCCGGGAGGCCGCATTCAGGAAAGCGCAGGGATCATGCACGAGCGCACCGAAGATGCCTGATATTGTCCTTGTTAGAGGTGGTGCTGAAACGGGATCGCAACGCAACACTTCCTTTCAGTATTTTAGAAATTTTCCTTTGACAGTGCCGGTACCTAGGCAGACGTCAGTTCAGACCCGCTGGATTTTAGAACGTGCGCAGCCGTTGCCGGCGAAACTGGACGGGAGCTCCTCTTCCGCGGTGCAGAGGGCCTCGGTGGAGACGCAGACCAGCAAAGCTTGGCCGTTGCTTGCAGTAGCTGCTCGGCACAGTTAAGGCAGCGGCGTATCGCCGTGTGGCGTGAGGAATTCGATGCTGCTGCTCTCCTGGTTTGTAGCAGCCCAGCGCTTCCAGTCTCCTCCTGCTTCTTTGCTCTGCACCTCCTTACTCCCCTCTTTCCTTGGACACAGACCTTGCCGTCTCGTCCTCTCACACATGCTGCTCTTAGAAGCCTTCATCAATAGTTTATATCATACAAATAAGGGGTTTTTTTTGCAGATTTGACATAGGGCATCCCTGCTTCAGCAGTGAGGTGATTTTAATACAGAAACCCGCAGGAGAGGCAGGCTTTGAGCTGGCCTGGGAGCGTTACAGTGGGGTGTCCTTGTGCCTCCGGAGCTGCACACAGAGGATAACCTGCTGGCTCCAGCCTTTCCCACCCTGGAAGGGGGAGGCTGCACGTTGCTGCCTTCGCTCCTTGCCGTGTAGTTTCACAGGGAAGCAGGCTCCAAACCTCCACACTGCTTGCCTGGCTTTCCCTTGGGAGTCAGAGGGACCGTCGGTCCTGGGTCCAGCTAGCGTGCGCGTCTTGGTAGTCTGGCTTAAATTCAGTGTGCAAGTCTGTGGGGCTTTCAATTGCAAAGTACTTTGCAGGCTGCCTGGTCCTAGCACCACCGGATCCCCTGGGGAAACCGGTTTTGGGGTGCCAAGGTGTTGTCGTAGCGGAGGGGTCCGTGCTGCTGTGTCCAGAGAGGGCTGGAGGGTGCGTGGGCAGCCCTCTTGCCTCCAGGGCTGGGTTTGCCAGCCAGTGGGCTGTCTGCTGCTGTGTGGAGGAGGGCTTGGTGGGAAGGTGCTTTTCCCACCTCTCCCTGGCGATGCTGCAACCTTGCACCGTGACACACCCTCCTCCGAAGCCATTCCCAGCGGGAGGATGGAGGGTGGGAAGCGAGGCACTCACGAGGCCAGCTCGAGGGATGCAGGGGAAGGTGGCACCAGCACCAGCAGAGTCAGGTAGCAACTGTCTTCCTCCTCCTTGTACCAGAGTGTGTGATCCTCTTCCCCTCCCGGCCCCGGAGCAGGACGCAGCCTTGGCAGTGTTGACTGTTGCGGGAAAGCAGCGGAGCTCCACCGCGCTACCTCTGCAAGCTGTAACCATTTTCCCCTTGCATATGCCCAGGTTTGGATGCCAGTCCCCCGGCCAGTACTCATGAACTCACCATTCCCAATGATGTAAGTAAATTCAAATGCTTCCTCAGCATGTGTGTGTGTACACGTATATATATATGTGTGTGTAAATATATATATAAGCTGCAGGCATATGACTTTGTTAAATACGTTTAGAGATGCCCCTTCACCAGGTTCGCCCATGCCACGCGCAGTCTGTTGGGGATCAGCCTGCAGCATTAATCACCCCTGGTACTTTACCCCATTGGTAGCTTTCCTAGGTACAACCCTTCTTAATGCTCCTTTTCCCTTTCCAAGTGAACTCAGTGCTCATGAAATATGCCCAGTTGACAGCACTGGGAAGGGGAGAGAAATCCCAAACCAGCCCTGATTAAACCTTAAGTGCTTAATCTAGCACTGGCTCAAGTGTAAATACCAGGGGGGTTGGAAAGGAGGTAAGTAAATAGCATATCTAATGCCACAAAGTGTCACACAAGGTTTTGAAGGATGGTGCGTCTCATCTTGGTACCGGTGGCAGTCAGCTTTTGGGTCTTATAGATGGAGGCATTGTGGTAAAGTGGATGTTGGACTGGGATATTCGCTGGGAGGAGGCTGGAGTCACGCTGGGCACTGAGCGGTGGGAGGAGGGTGCTTGGGGATGCTCAGGTGGGAGGAGGTGGGATGGAGAGCCCAGCACAACTGGCACCTTGATCCAAGGGTCTCATTTTCTTTTGGATTTCTGGTCTTCTCTTTCTCCTGGACACCGGTTTCCATGGGTTGATAACCAATGGGTGCTCAAATCAGGATCAGGGCAAGCTGGGGGATGGCTTCCAGTCTCTGTCCTCATCTCCATCACCTACAAGCATCTTCAGCCCATCTTCATCAGGAGTTTCTGGCTCGGGTCTGGCAGCCATTGCCACTTTTTCCTGCTGTTCACCAATGCACTGCAGCGCAAGGGAAGGGCAGCGAGCCTGGCTGCAGCTGCCGGGCACCTCGTCTCCTCCGGGACACTTGTGAGGCCTCCTTCCACCTGAGAGACGTGGCAGTGAAACCACTTCTGAGCATCTGCACGCTGAAACACTGAG